TGTGGGAAAATTCTACTACCAGTCCTTCATCACCTTACACGAAATAGGGTGAATACATCTCATTAAATTGTGTTTGTGCAGTGTCCGAGTCATGCGAGATGTGTTAGCACTAGTCAGTCTCAAGGCTATACAAGCCTCCTTCTCTTGCTTATCAGTTCTTCCTCCTCCTCCTCCCTCTATCTCTCTCTCTCTTCCTCTCCCTTTAAGACAGCCAAAAAATTAAATTATCCCTTATCTTCTACATCATATTCTTCGTTTTGTGTTTTAGTGCATTTTTTCGTAAATGGCGGTTTCTTTCTTTGGCAAGGCCTGTCAGGCCAGCACAGACGATAGCTCATTACAGATGGAGCGGAATCGCAGAACGTTGAGCTGGGCACTTCGTACAATTCAGCATTATCTATTCAACGACAATCCTGCCGATGAAATGAAAAGTCAAGTCTCAGCTTTACCACCAAAATGGACAACATTACTTAATTAATATATGAGTAGATTTGAGACTATCAGTAAGTCTGCAATTTGAACTTGGCCACCTTGGGCCGATTACGGCAACTGAAGGACCAACTGATCTCGTTTTAGCAACTTGGTCGGGTTGCCAGGGCGTCCTGCGTCATAGAAGTCCCGATAATTTTTACTTTTGGAATACCAACTTGGTGCATTCTCAGACGTTTGGTTGGCATCGTTGACAAAACAAACAAACAAAACTCGTCAAAGAGACACGTGAAGTCCTTCCATGAGGGGAGCGTTGAAGTGAGAGCCGCCGGCTTGAAACTCGCCAAGGTTTCGAACCCCAACAAGAGCGAGGATGCGACCAGCCCTGGAATGCACAGCACAACAGAGCTCGGTGGGCTCGTGAAGATTGCTCTTTCTTAGTCTCTATGGGCCGATCGAGCACCGGTCAACAGACCATCAGACAGTCACCATGAAACAGGCCCAATTTCTGCATCGCATCCTCAACTCCGATGAGAAAGCAGACTTGAAAACAAACCAGCCTCGCAATACCGTTGCCGTCATGTCGACGATTGAGCTGGGTCCGAATTGGCGCAAAACTCTTCCGGAAAAGCCTCGGATCCCGAATTCCATTCCCGAGACAAGGTCCGCATATGCTCAGCAGAGTCTAGAAGCGAATCGGTACAGCCAAATGAGCGGAACTACAGATTACAAGAGTCGCCTGGCATGTGAATGCCAATGTATGCTAGTAGTAATGTTTGTGTGTGTGTGTGTGTGTGTGTGTGTGTGTGTATGCCGGTATGTGTTT